TCCAACACCATAATACTCTAACCTTTGTAAAAAGGCACCGAGCTAGACTGATGCTGTCTGTAAGTAAAGTTAGGAGGGAACGTTTAAGAAGTACATTGCTGGCTCAGATTTCCCCTAAAACCCTGAGGCATGATGGGAAGTAGGACAGCTTAAAAATTAGAGCTAAGAAACCCAACGAACCATACCTCAGCCCACATGGGTCCAAAACCATAATATTACAGTAGATTTGATAAAGTCTTACCATTTCAAGTGGTGAGAGGTTCAAAAGGTTGGGCATTACACATCCGGGCTCACTATCACAGTAGGCGGATTTAAATATTTTTATATCAGATGTGTGCTGACAGTTTACATAGATTGATTTTTGCAACCTGCCAAGAGGAGCGTGGGAGCTGAACGGTGCAGAGGGGGCCTGGCAGAACATGAATGGGTGAGGCTGAAGAGTGACAGAGGGGATGACAGGATGGGGACGAGGAAGAGGTGTCTGAGTTGTCTGTCTGGACCGCGGGTGCACATTAAAGGCAGTTGTTGGCATGTTGGCGTTTCTGTTTCAGTTCGTCATCTCACATCACACCTCCTCTGTTAACAGATCTGACTGATTAGTTCTGTGAAGAGCTCCACCTGCTGTGACACTGTCACTGAGCATTAGAGAGGAAACAGTAAGAAATGCTCATCTCCTGATTCACCCATGGAGGCTGAGTTCGGCTGAGGATTTAGAGAGGTTCAGCGAGACATACACACAAACCAGATGATCCTAAATCAAAGGTTTGGAGTGTTAGATATGTGATTTTTTTTATATAAAATCATTTTATGTGTTGCCTTGTGGGTCAATTTCAAACCACCGGTGACCAAACACACCATAAAATTTCTTTTGTAAGTGGCCAAAGAACCTGGTAGTGACTAGCCTAAAATACCCGTCAGCTCTCTGACTGTGCTTATTAGCCAAGCAGGGCCACCTGGCTAACACATTCTGCATACCCACTCTGATCCACTAGAAAAGAAACACCCACTCCAGTCGATCCGGCGTGAAGGTCAATTTGTCTTTGCATCTGCCAAAGCCAGCCGAGATCACGATAGAGTCCCACGGGACCAGCGCCACTGCATAAATGAAATAAGCCCATGCTAAAAGAGGAAGCTCTCATTTTTTTAATGACTCTTCCCCCTCCCCACTGCACTGTGATTAACTTCATCACACTCAAATCCTGCTCAGCAACTCGTAAAGTCTCGTGGAGAATGGTATTAACTTGTGCAGAGGTATAAGCCCAGGGATAACTTTTAGAACAGTTATGTCACCCGTGTGCCAGAGTTACATACTGGGGTGAAATCTCCCTTATCACTCCAAGTCCACCCTTGACCTCACATAGTTTCCTGCTGATTTTGTTCTCTGCTTCTTCTTCCCTGCCCCGCAGTAGAACGATGTGGACCATCCTTTTTCACGGTTAACAGTCCTGCACGCCAACGCGGGTATTTTTTAGTTATTTTGATTAAAGAAACAATAAGCAAAAGATTCCTGATGCAGGAAATGTTTTTCAAACACACAGTTTTGATATGTGGTCAATCAAATAATAGGAATGGTTTTGCACTGTCTGTAAATATAGGCACATGTAGTCTAAAATAAGTCTTTTTCATACAAAGATTACCCCTACTTTGAAAAAATGTATAAAAAGCTCTTGAGATGGAAGATTATAAATGTATACAGTGTGCAAATACTAATAACACTAGTATTTGCACAATCTTGTAATACTAGTGAACTATTCTTTCTTTTAGTCCTGCTTGTGTTCATTATGTAGCACACAATATATAAACTCCAGTAACTGTGTATTTCAATATTCTGTGACGCATACAATACGATACCTGTGTTCTGCAGTAGGCTAATGCATCAGTGCTCTTAATTATATGAATATGTGATGAGCGCGTTATGTCTGTGTGTACATTGGAGTGGTTTTCCAAATCTGAAACTGAACTTTGCAGAATGCACCTTGTATGTTTAAAAACTGCCTGCCTAGTGTTAGATTTCTTTTCAGCCTCTCTTTCTGGTGTATACGCTCAGCTCAGACTGCACTGCAAGACCAGCCAGGGAAATGTGTTTGCTCACAACAAAATGTAGTGCACGCTCTAAAGATAGCGAGGCAAATAAAGCAAACATAAACACTGACAGACACGTAAAAACATGGAATTGATTGGCTCCCTCGAGCACAGCCAGCTTAGAGTCTTTATTCTTTTTCAGTGGTGATATTTGCTTCAACTTGTCTGCTTCAGCCCTGAACTGTCCACCACTTGACTAGCTTCTCGACAGCAACTTGAGGGGCTGACGGGAGTCCTTGAGTTGAGCCTATCATGCTCACTCGTTCCACTAATATCAAGTCAAGTCTACTCTTACACCTACTTTTTTTTGCACCCAGTTGCCTTCTGTGTTGCTGTCACACAATCTCTCCCTTTTACATTCCTGTCTTTTGTTCTCCCCTCTATCTCAGCGTGTCTCTCTCTACTGCTTTAGGAATTTTTTTCCTTTGAATTTTGATTCCTCCCCAGTGTCTCTCCACCCACCTTTTCTAAAAACTCTCTTTTCCCCTTTCCTCTGTGCATCTCACTGATGTTCTTCTCTGCTTTTCCCTTGATGTTTTTTTCCATTTGTCTCTTGATTCGTCTCACACTATCTAGCGTTGGTTTTGAACTCACTAGGTCTCTCTTTTTCTCAGTCTTTCTCGGTTTCACATACGCACACAGACACTCTCTTCTCACAAGGTGCCTGCAGATCACAGTTGGCGTGTCTCTCAGTAAGCTGCAGAGTTACCAAGCTTCTTGATTCATACCAGCTATCTGGGTGACCCATTTCTGCACAAGCTCACAGTGCTGTGTTTTTATTGCTTTAATTCAACAGTACATCTACAAGTAAACTACCTCAGTGTGGTTTTCTTTCTGATTATCTGAATTTGGGTTTGGCACATTCAGTGGAGTACGGGGAGGGGGGGTGGGTGGGGGACCCCATGGTCCACCATGTGGAGGTAGACCATGTTATGAGGACTATACTAAACATGCTAAATGAAGTCATAAAGCATATTCATTCAGCTTAGTTTGGGTCCTGATCATCCATGAACCCCCTGCATTGACTCTGTGCTCAACTAATGCTGTGCCCTACAGTTTGGGAACCACTAGTACAAGATAAAAAAGGATAGAACCCTTTTTGCTATTTTATAGCTTGATTATAAATGATTAACTGTATTTTTTATCTGTACATATCTCAGAAAAAACATATATAAATTAAGCCCATGATACAGTACATGCAGTAAATACCAGAATAAGGAGCAGCAAAAAGTAATCATGAAGATCAAGATCAAATATTACATGTTATTTAACCATCACATAATGCTAATAGACTTCACTTAAAAAAACATATTAAAATTATGTACTCTTCATTTTGTTTAAAAAAAAAAAGACATTTGGAGTAACGTGACAAATGCGGATACCATGAGAGAGTGAGGCAATGCCACAAAATATGATGGAGCAGTTTTTATGTGAAATAGTCTGCCCTCATTGGAGCATTTAACTGTTTTAACATCTTACAGATATATTCTGTAAACCTGTGGCTTCTAATTTTGTTTGTAGAATGATCCAGAGTCTCAAAAGCCTTTGGAAGATTATTAAAACAGAACCAGTGTACAAACCACAAGTCATATTAAATCTTACTGTATCACAAAGGTACGTAAGAGCAGTATCGGTAGAGTATCCTGGTCTAAAATCTGACTGAACTTTATATATTAGCTGGAACTATAATTGAGGAAATAATCATTCAGTCCCCTGCTGAATGTGTAAGTTTGCTAGCTTAAATGAATAGTCGCTAACTTTTTTGGTATTTAATTTTAATGAAGAGAGACACTCCAAGACCATGAGAGACCAAAAATCCAGAAAAAAACATGTCATTGAGTGAAATAAGTATGTAATCCTTTACATCCTAGCCAGAATTCTGACTCCCACAGATTACCCACGTGGCACAGAGATTTCAATCAATCACTCAATCAGTTATTGAAACTCCTGATACCAGCTTGTTACATGGATAAAACACACCTGTGAGAATCAGATTCTTACATTCCAACCTCTTCACCAACATAGTCAAGACCAAAGAGCTATCACAGGACATCAGGGACTAGATCAACCTGCAAAGGCTGAAATGGGCTGCAAGACCATCAGCAAGAGCTTTGTGAGAAAGTGACAACTGTTTCTGCAGTTATGTAGAAATGGAAAAATATAAAACGACCAGAAAGGTGATCATGAGCAGATGTGACATCTTGCATCAGCTGATCTCAAGAAGTCACATGATAGGGTGAGGCAAGGTCTCACAATGTTTTTACGGGAAACCTTTGCCGACAATGACCCACACCCTTTTCCCACCTCGGCTCATGTGATGAGACACGTGAATAATGGGTGAACTTCCACTTGGACTTAAACACCTGCTCTCCGCCATTTGGTCTTATAACTGAAGAAGGTTCTGGGATGAGAGGGTGAAACGTCTTCAAGAAACTTAAAGAAGTCCAGTCGGTTTTCTTTCCAAGTTCCTTAGGATGTAATTAGGCAGCGCCTGCAAAACACCATCCAAAATGTGTCGATAAAATGTAGTCAGCTTTCATTTTTTATAATTAAATTTACTGACTTTATGCGTAAAATTAGAAGACATTTTTTTGCAGTTTTGTTACAATAAAAATCATAATAACACAGGCTACTATAATTTTATTGCTGGTTTCTCATTTCACCTGCTCAGTAGTGGAAGATCTTATTTTAAACCGAGAACTAGAGAAAAAAACAGGAATTTAGTATAGAAGCAGAACTGGGTTACTGTCTATTCGGGCTTTGTGATTTTAACGACATGTGTGAAACAGATGTGTAAAAGAAAAAGAAAAAACTGTTCAGACTCCTGTGGTGAAATTATCAATAAAAACTGTGCCACGTTTTGTGACCCGCTGTAAAATCCAGTATTTAATGTTGGATAATTGCAGCTAATTGGGTGCCAGTAAGCAGACACCCCACCCACCACCACCCTGACCTGCTGTAAGTGAAACGTTGCCGGATTGATTCCTGCGTTCCTGATGAGGGCTGTACACACTGTAGGGAGAATCAGAGGAAATAACAGAGCACAACAAACAAGAAGCGCTTAGAGAATAACAAGAAAGCGTCGTTTTTCTTTGCTTCTGCTGCCGCTTCTGCGTTTCCGGACTACCTTCACCGGGGAGAGGATGCTGCATCCCCGGAATCGCTGCCCTCCGCTCATTATCCGCACAGTCTCCTCAGTTACGTTTCACTGTGATTAACGAGTGTCGGGAGTAAAAGACGACGTGCGAACAAGACAAGGAGCAGAAATTTGGAGTGAACATTAAGAAGGTTTTCATTGAGCATCCGCGAGAGAATTTTTTTGCGCGCTGCCCGCTTCAGTCGCATCACTGCCGACTTGTGTTAGACGCAAAGGAGAGGGTAAAAAAAAGACACACTTGATATTCTCCTCTCTGTTAAATTATTTAGGAGTATCTGTTCCTCAAGCCCAACATATGCTCGTATCTTTGTCTTACATGATTGTAAAGCAAGGCTCGAAGTGGCGGTGACACGGATGAAAGCCGATGGCCAGGCGCCCCGAATTTCATCAGAAGGGGGATGCAACCTAGAATAACCCCAGTGTCAAATGGTAAGAGCGCAGCTTATGTCGAGAATCCGTGCACTTGCTCAGAAGTGGAGAAAAAAAACCCTGTGAGTTTCTGCAGCTCTCGTAAGGTCTGTTGATGTGAATTATCCCTGCAGCTTTCCACGCAACGCAAGGCAAAGAAGACCTGAATCTCGACACGTTACGGGGCGAGTGTATACTGCTGCGGCTGCGGACTGAGACAGCTACACACACCGCGGTTGAGAGCATTGCTTTCTGTCACACTTCTCTGAAGTCAGGGTGAAGGGCGCATGCATAGTTGGCGCATTGTAACTATAACGCGCCTCAGGTTTCTCCTGAGACTGTCCCTCCTCCTGACCTCTTACGCACTGGAAGCCCGGACACTGGTGACTTTTTAATGGCTTTTGTGTTCAGAAGATGGAGGGTCTTACTGGTGCTGAACGTGCTCGCGGTTGCCGGGTTCATTACTTTCTGGGCCAAGTGCAACAACGCACGCAGCATCCAGACCACCGGTCCAGAGGCCGCGGGTGATGGGAAGAGAGCCCGGGGCAACGGGACGGCACAGGGGCCCAGCGTCAGCCATGAGGTGCTGCTGAAAAGGCTCAGCTCTCTGGAGGACGTGGTGTACAGGCAGCTAAACGGTAAAGAGCACGTTAACATTTAAAGTGAAAGAACGTGTCAACTTGATTTCCCTCAAGGAATCTGAAAAAGTTAAAAGTCAGTGTTGTCTGACTTTTTTTTTACTCCCTCTGGAGCCCTGACATGACATGTTAGAAACTAATGAATAAGCCTCCCTGCATTGTCCCTAATATTGTCTAACAGTCAGCTGCTGGATCTGGCACTCCTCTCACATTATTTCAGTAATTATGGGTCATGCATGATGAGAGTGTGCTCTCTGTTAGAAAGTCTACATCTACTGAACCACTGAAGAAAGAGTCAGCAACTACCAAGCATATTTAATACTCCAGCGTAGAGCAGCAGAGATCACCAATGGTAATTAAGTTTCCAATAAAACATTTAATTTTAAATACAAGTGTGTCGGGTTTAAATGGATACATGGGGCTGTTTACAATAGGATTCAGTGAATTGATTTTCCCTGCAACAGTAGTAAGGTTATCCAGAATTGTACTTTAATTAATCTCTGAAAAGACAATGTCTTTATTGCACTCCGGAGGTTAGAGTTTAATGTTAACTTCCGAGAAGGAGTTTTCAGGGTTCTGGTGTCTTCAGGATGCCGGATGTTTGCCAACACAGAGGTTCAAACACTGTGAAGGATGGTGTGGTATGTGTTTGTTCTCTGTCCCCCCTACAGACAGAGCGAAAGCTTTAAATCCTTCACTTGTGTAGTTTAGCCTATGTTTAGAGTTTAATTTTCTTCCCCATCATTAAATGAAGGCTTACTGACCTCAGAATGGATAGGAGGGTTTGGATTGGGAATATTTCACACATCCTATTTGTAAATTGTGTCCATAGATTGAAGATATTCTCTGTGACTCTGTGCCAACTCTGGTTCTAATGAACTCGGCCCAGAAGTTCACCTGTTTTGACAGCCACTGACAAAATACTGTATATTCATGTGAGTTTGGAGCTGTGATGGTAAGGCAGGCTATCAGCTGTGGGCAGTATAATGCATTACTGAGAGGAGAGTGACTCAGACACACTAAAGTATCCTGACATGTAATCTTCTCTTGTTTGCCTTGCTCAGGTCTGTCCAAATCTCTGGGCCTGATTGAGGGCTTTGGGGGTCGGGGTAAAGGCGGCCTCCCCGCCACGCTGTCACCGGCTGAGGAGAGTGACGCTAAATACCTTAGGGAGAAGTATGGCTATAATGCCTACCTCAGTGACAGAATTTCTCTGGATCGCACAATACCAGACCATCGGCCTAGCAAGTGAGTACAAGTCAAGTGAGGAAACTTTAAATTGCGCTTCAGATGGTTGAGTCATCCAAATTTTACATTTTTTTCTTTGCTTCTGAGATAGCCTCCTCGAGCCTAACACAGTGGACACGGTTGACGTTTCACTTGGGGTCGTTTCAGCATTAAAAAGAAAATACATGAGCAGCATAATTTTTCCATAATCAGTGTCTCAGTTGCTTTGGATAATGTAGAACTCCCTGAAAACAGTCCTAATTTTTCTTTTGCTCCAGTAAAAGCTGATGTACATGTGGATGTATGAATAAATTCAGTCTCAGATAACACACCTTTTAATGTTAATGCAGTGTTATTTATTTTCTAAATATAGCCCACACACACACGTCAGTAATACTCAGCTAATGAGTCTTAAAACTTATTGCCTGCATTATCCAAATGTTGTGCTTGCATACTGAAGATGTTGACTTTTTTGCGACCATATGTAAGATTTGTTTTTCATTTCTCCCCAGAAAATATTCAGTTTCACCAGAGTTTCTCTACTCTCGCAGATCTTGTCTTAACTTCCACTGTGCCCCTCAACTCCCTTTTCATTATGTTATTTCATCTGGTGAAATTGCAAGCTGGAAGCACTTTGATATTTTTATAGCACCACCCTGCTTTGTAGGCATTAGATAGGTTCATTTTCTGATCCTTAGTCATCTGTTAAGAGGAGCCCAGAGCTGTTGAGTGTCACCACAAGGTTCGACGACTCATAGATTTTATCAACTCTGGAAATGCCATCAGCTGCGAACTTCAGATGAGAATTTTTGACCTGCCTCCAGCCTTACGACTTAATGAGTTCTCACTATTTTATAGCCCAGCCCAAATGTTTGCACATGCTCCAGTCCTATTTCTAAGATCCTAAAATAAAAAGTGACGTATATTTAACAACTGAATAAATGATTGCTCATTGGTTTTGTTTGTTTGTTTGATAGCAGTATAGCTCAAAAAGTGAAGCATGAATGTGCATTAAAATTTAATTTAAGGGGCTGGCTTAACGTAGAAAGCATTGACTTCTAGAGTCGGCCTGGTTCTGGATTCTTTACCATTGTGAGGTAGCTCAAAATGTAAATTTTTTTTTATGTTTTAAAAAAAATAAATAACTAAAACTATCAAATATCAATAATAAAAATGAGAGACTTTATCTTGATGTTTTTAAGGCAATAACCCAAACAAATCTGAGTCTAGATATTTGTTTGAATCCAAGGATCCAATTTGTTCATCATGGAAAGGTGTGCATCAGAGATATGCTGTGTCAAACTGCTCTTTGTTGAATAAGTGAATTGATAAATGTGTGATTTTCCCAGGAGTGCCCACACTTTTGCATAGAGCACTGAGGTTGGCCTTGCATTAGCTGATTGGTATCAGCTGTTTCATTCATGCTTCACAGTAACTGAGTAATTCACATCTGTGTGGCAATCAGCAGACTAGTCATGTCTAATCATATCCATGCATGTGTAGAGCACAGCCATTATAAGGGGGCACAGTGGTGTAACGCAGCTCTCCCAGGCAGCCTCATCTGTGCTCGATATGCTATAGTTTTGCATTTTTAGTTTATCATAGGAAAATCCCAACCCTATAGTATTAGGTAGTAACAGTATATGCACAGAGGTGCAGAGGTTTGGGTCGAGTATGTGCTTTGGTGGCTCTCTTATTGTACCAGCTGCTTTTCACAGCATACATGAATCCTTTGGCTCATTTTTCCATATATTTCACGTCCCCCCCCTTTTAGTCTTTATTACTCTCCCCCAGCCTCTTATGCTCATATCTGATGAAGTTGCACTATAAGTCTTGGTTTGACATCGGTCAGCAGGCGTTCACGCACACATTCACAGTGTGCTGTGTGTGCATGTGTAGGTCAGTGCTTGGGTACAAAATGCTTACCTCACGTTTGCACATGGTTTTATTTATGTAATGACTGCACGTTTCTATGTGTATGGTCTTCATGTCTTATCGTCATATACAAACAGCCGTGTGTATTATGTCTTCAGTAATTCTTAGTTAAGGGTTTGTAGCTTCCAGCTAGCTGATAGTGAAGCAAGTCACAGACCCTTTTTTGAAAATCACTGATGACAAGAAAGACTGGATCCTTGGTCTAGATGAAATTCCAGTGCCCTCATTTTTCTTCTAGAAGGTCTTTTATGTTGCTTCGATCAATGTGGCCAGTGAAGCACGTTGGGGTGCGGCATTTTCAGACATAGACAGCATGTAAGCTGGGGTCAGAGGAGTCTACTCTGTTTGACTGAAGGAGATTGTGGAGAAGTATGAGAGGAGCAAGAGAAACAGAAATAGGAAAAAATAAAAACAGCATTTTAAATGATCTTCTGTCAACCTGCTCAGCTTTTCTAGGGTTATTAAACTTGCTTCTCTTTTCAGCAATGTGGTACATGTGTAGAAATAAAAGTGGACCCGTACTGCACATCAATACCGATCATAGATGTGACAGCATTAGTTTGTAGTGATGTTAAGTCTGATAAGTGCCATTAGGATGGCCATCAGCTGATGAGCTGACTCCTACAGCCATAATCACAGTCATACTCAGATTAATCAATGAAGCTGTACTTGTAAAGTGACAAGTTCACACTCCCACTTTTGCAATCATTCATGCTGTTCCCTTCTATCTCCTACACACTGCTGGAACTGGTTACGCTGATTGCACCGTCCCTGCCTCCTCCTGTTCTCAATTTGTATTAACATAATTGCTGTAGTATCTCCTACCTGCAGTGTATGTACATGCAGTATATCCCCTCCATGATTGTAATATAGGGGTTTAAAATATGTTTTTGGACATTTTATATTTCCACTAGACTGTGATCATGTTTGTAGTTTTTTTTTAAGCCTTATTCATGTGAACCTAAGGGATCTTCTGGAATCCTCTCTGTCACATATACGGCACAGTGCAAAAAATATTCAGATGTGCCTAATTTTTAAAAACATTTTGCTTTCAAGGAGCCAGATTTTCTTTTTGTTTGTTTTAATCTTTAAGAATCTAAAAGATAACAAAATTTGATAGGTAAAAATAACATTTTGAACCAACTAGGTGGTTCCCAAAAATCTGGCGTGCTGTGAGTCCTTAAAAAAATTGAGGAAACCGGAAAAGTAGCAGGACTAAATAACTCTGTACAGCAGATGAACTGTATCTGAAAATCATGTCC